ACGCATTCACCTAATGGCTAACTCCCATCACTCAGAGTCCCACAAAGCACAAAGCAAGCAACATTCAGACACAGGAGACTACTCAAGCAATTCTATCCTCATAATGGGAAACTATACTAGCATACAATGCTAAGCTCATGTTATCAGGCATAACCTAAACAGGCTATCCTACTGCTGACTACTCAATGCTAGCATGCAATTCTTATAAAGCTGAAACACATAAAGCAGACATATAAGGCATCCTCCTAGATCCTTAGTACTATACTAGCATGCTATTCTAGTGAAACTGAAACTGAAAATGAAACTCAACATTAACTATTACATACTGTTGCAAGGGTAATTTGGGAGTACTTACTTGAGCTCGGTTGATCGCATGCACCACACCCTTTTCTCTTTTCAAAGTTCTTTTCTTTCTAAAATTCTTTTTACTTTTCTAAAACTCTTTTCTTTTGAAAAAAACATTTTACCATTTCCTTAGTTTGAGTTCAGACACACCCGAAAGTGTGCCCGAATCCCTCAAACCAAGGCTCTGATAACAACTTGAAACATCCTAAAAATATGACCCAAAATTTTTGTTTTTAAATAATAATAAAAGTCATAACACTGAATGCCATATAATAAAACCATATGTCGGATATCTTAAAAGCCATAATAAAAGTGTCGTATCAAAAACTGTATTAAATCACATCTAAGTATCTGAACAAAACTCCCAGGAATAAAGATGAAGTTGTGGTGTGTGCGATGCCATCATCCCGAACTCTTCCCTTTACTTGCGGAAGTACCTGAAACCAAAACTGAAACTGTAAGTACAAAGCTTAGTGAGATCCCCCAAACTACCACATACCATACAATAACATATAAACACATACTGGGCCTTGCCCAATTCATCAGACCGAAGTCCGGAAACTACATCGAACCGAAGTCCGGAACTAACCAGGGCCTTGCCCTCTGTATCGGACAAAAGTCTGGAAACTGCATCGGACAGAAGTCTGGAACTGACTGGGACCTTGTCCCCTGCATCGGACCGAAGTCCAAAACTAACTGCATCGGACCGAAGTCTGGAAACTGAGCATAACATAGCATGGCATTAACATATCAACTAGCATGAACACATTAACTGCATACTGCATCGGGCCGTAGCCCGGAACACATAACACATAAATCCTGTCTGAGCCACGAAGGCATCAAACATACTAGAAACTGCATCGGAACGAAATCCAGAAACTACTGCTAGCTAAACGGGCTGGCATTATGGCCTTAGACCCGTTCCTACTGGAAGGAAACTCACCTCGTAAACTGGCTGGTAAATGAACTGCTCTGGAAACTGTCTGCTGCTGCTCCGGTATCTCCCCGGCTACAATTTCCATAACACACTGAATCAAATACTGATAACTACATTGAGGGTAAAATGGCTATTTTACCCCTGATCAAAGTCAACCCTATTGGTCAAAGTCAGCATACAATTGACCTGACTCGTCGAGTTAGGTCACCAACTCGTCGAGTCCTCACCCTCACTTCCTTGCTTCTGCTCGCTACTACTCGTCGAGTTTGGCATAGACTCGACGAGTTCCTCTTCAATGCTATCACTCAGTCAATCTGCATCCGACTCGCCGAGTTGTATGAACAACTTGTCGAGTCCTCCTTCATCGCATGAACACTCTGGCTGTGACTCGCCGAGTTGTATGATCAACTCATCGAGTCTGATCTAGAGGTATGAAGATTGTCTTGGTCTCGCGACTCGACTCGCTGAGTCCGAAGAATGAGTCGCTGAGTTGCATGCTTGCAATTACTATTCAGACGATTCTGCTCAAAACCAACGCATCCAACTAATAGATCTGGGCTCCTAAGGCTTGGTTTGCACGTAAAGCTTCCATTTTTACGTGCACATATACTCCTAAAGAGGTTTATAGGCTTAAAATGCATGAATAAGGTTAGATCTAGGGTTTATATGCAACAAGGTTCAATAAAGGTATTAGATCTGGGTTTTGGGATAAAAATATGATTAGATCTGAAAGCTATACCACTACACAAGCTCCTTTACTAGATTAAGCTCATAAATGGGCAAAAAGGTAACCAAAATGAGATTTCTAAAGAGAAACAACCAAGGAACAGAAAGAGTCTGATTAATACCTCAAATGCCTCTGAAATGGATGCAAGAACTTGATTCCCTTCTTCTCCTTTGGATCTAGCCTTCCTCTTCTCTTCCAATCTTCACTCTTTACACAAAAATGCCCAAAAACACTCAAGATAGGTTAAGGTGTTGCTATGAAACATTATGAGGGTGAGGGAGGCCAGATTGGGCGCATAAGGGGGTTATATAGGGTGCAAAACCCGTGGATCTAGGGTTTCTTCCAGACTGGCGGACTCGCCGAGTCCAGGATATGGACTGATTGAGTCGCCCACTTTCACGTGCTCGAAACCCCGTCTGTACTCGACGACTTGGGCAACAGACTCGTCGAGTCCCTCTTGAAAAACTTGAAAAAATAAACATTAAATAACATACCAGAAATGGAGACGTTACAATTTTGCAAATTGCTTCCGAAAGAGAACTTCGGAAACAAAGGGATGGTGACATGAGAACACTAACGATGAACACATCGCAGATGATCCGGGAGGAGCAAAGTGCTTTGGTGATGAAAGTCCATCTCAACAAACGTTATGCTAAGTAGGTTTTGAGATTTCTAGTTTTTTCTTGTAAGTTTTTAATTGTTTTGTGTGTGTGTGTTTTTTTAAGTTTGTAGGTTTACGGTTTCTGTTTTTTTTTTTTTTTTTTTTTTTTTTTTTTTTTTTTTTAAGGTTTTTTGGATTTTTTTAGTGTCATGTTATGTTTTATTTTAGGTAATGCAATGTGATGGTTTTTAATTTTTAAGTAACCAAGTTTATGTTTTTTTATTAAAAGTAAAGTTTTTATTTAAATTAATTATAATAAAAAATGTGGCACCAATCCTTGCGTATGGCAAGGAACCACACTTTTGTGGTAAAAACTGACGTGTCATTTACGTGGCAGTGAAATGACGATGGTAAGAGTAGCTCCACTCCCTCTGGCCTAACTAGCATTTTTCGGAAAACAAAAGATAATTAAATAAATAAGCATGGTATCTATATGATAAATAAGATGTATGTTTAGTCAATCCGAAGTTTATAAATAAAGTACACTGTAAAAACCCCTCGATTAACCACATGAAAATTTGAAAATGATAAATATATTTTTATTTTGTCTTTTCTATTATTTCGCCATTTTAGTAACTGGATTGGCAATTTTTTTCGATTTGTTGTCTATATGAAACTTTGAATAAAAGCCAACTACAACTTTTCAAAACTTGAACCAAAACTGCAAATTAATGTCGATATCAAAATTGTAATTCACTCTTGACATAATTAAATGTAATATGCACTACTAGAAAATAGACCTTTAATGACGCGCTTTTTACGACACGCACCGATTAGTGATATGCAAAAGGGTGTGCCCTAAAAATAATGCCAGATCTTTAGAAATTTAAAGAATTTTGGATGCGCATTTTTGCGCGCCCTAGAATTAGTGTCTCGCCAAAAAAAAAAAAAAAAAAAAAAAAAAACACGGAGGCGCTTATGTTAAAGGCGTGTCGACTAGAAATGTCGCTTTATAATTTTAGAAACGCGCTCTTCAGCAACTAGCAGCGGGAAAAAGGAAATTAAAAAAAAAATTAGAAAACACGCCTTCCTTCCTTGTTTCCCCTCTTTAGCTCTGGGTGTGTTCTTTGACCACAAAAATCTTCTCCGGTCTTCCTCTGCCTCCCTACATCGAGTGTTGCTTGCTTCTTTCCCTTGCATTCCGACCGCCGCCATCGACTCTTCCCTGTCAAGGCTCATTTACTTCTACCCACATGAACCACCATATCTCCCACTCGATGTTGAAATTGTCAGAAAAAGCGCTAATTCAGTATTATACTCTCAAGTCTCAATATTAAGAATGCAAATCTTGATTCTCGTTTGTTTCTTATTCCCCACAAATAAATCAAAAAAAGGGAATTAGAATGACGAAGGTAGCGGGAGTTTTGGTCCGGTGGTCGTGGTTCATCTATCGAGCAAGGAAGATAGGAACGCAAGCAGCCATGGTGGCTCGATGATGGCAATCAATCGAGAAAGGGGAAGCAACTCTGGTGCGGGATCGATTTGACGAAAGGAAAAAGGAGAAGCAGCAACGCTTCTCTTGTCTGCCGCAGCTAGGGGGCGCTCCGGCAGTCTCCTTGGTTGTTCTTCCTTGTCGCCAACATATTACACGTAGGGAGGGGACTCAACTAGTCCGATGGAGCAGGGCAAGTAACGACTGGTAGATCGGCACGATCGATCTATTCGTGAGGATGAGGAGGAAATTATCGGTTCCTGGTGAGCCTTCCTTGGCTTCTTAGACTCCATCATCGGTAAAAATCGGGGTAAATGAGTTAGGTTCTTGTCTAATTTTGATGAAATAAACGGAGGGGGGAAAGGTTTGGGTGGAGGTCTGATCGATGAAAATAGTGGGAGCCTCTTGGTCTTGTCGGATGCTACTCCATCTCCAGTGGTCGTTGAGAACGAAGGGGAGGACCTCTGGGGTTTGGATAGATCAAAGGAAGAAGAAGAATGAAGTTGTGGTGTTCTTCGGTGACTGAAGGTAAACGGATGGGGTTTTCTTGAACCTCACAGGTCATATTCTTCTTCTTCTTGGGGCTTTTTTCTTGACGTTAGATAAACAATGTCTATTCTCCTGTAGTATAAAATTATTGTTCACAAACACAAATGAATACTCCCTCCTTCCAAACAACTAGTCCAAAATTCAAAATCAACTCGAATGCTTTAGTTTTTCTTGACTTTGAATCTTTATTTTTTGTCATAATGATCAACATAGGGGCTTTTTTTCTCAGAGAAAGACCGGGGGTTTAGTTGTCTAAAGATCTGGAAGCATTATCATACTGTACAGAGGAACAGACTACAAGTGTCCTTACTTCTTTGTAAAACCAAATGATGCATCTGTTGATGAACCAATGAGTTCATCTACAAAATCTGAAGATAATGGTGTTCAAACAAGAACAACAACTGAGCCAGAGCCACCTTTGATTCAAGGAGTGGGTTAAAGAACCAAGGTTCGATTTCAGCTACCTGGTGAGAAACAGCTCATGGAAGAATCTGATCAGCTTTTGCAAGGATTGGGTCCAAGGTTTCAGCCTGTTGGAAGTTGGATTTCACGTATTGATTCATCCCTATCTTCTTGTGATTTTTAAATACAATTTTTTGTGTAGTGCAACTAGAAAAAAGGGAAAAATCTCAATTTTGATGGTACAAATGAACGAAACATTTAATTAGTTGTGTAGTTAGAAGAGCAAAATTCGATGTATACATGACTCTTGACCATAGACACCAATATGATCGTATGTGGCTGGCACTCAATCTTCTCCACTTATGACAAAACAATAGTTTAACAAAGGTTCAACATCTCTTATAACTATTGTTTTTTAGCAGTGAAGATTTTTAAGAAAAAAAAGGATTTTGCAGGGTTACATGGTGGGAATTAAGCTAGATTGGAGAGGCAATGGTAATGGATGTTGTGAGGATTTTAATAAATCATAAGTCCTCTTCCAGAATTGATAAGACAAGGCGAACCAAGACATGTTTTAACAACATGGTGGTTGCTAGCTAATGGAGGGCCAATCGAATGGGGTAACACCTTGATTCAATCAAAACTTGTCCCGGTCGTCTATGGTAAGTCATTGGAATCTCAAGACCTGATTTGAGACATTATTAATCAATAAAAGTTAAGACTTTTATGCTTATGAAATGATAATAATAAAATAATTATAATTGTGATTTATTAATCCAGGGATCTCAGTCGTAACTACCTCAATGGAACTTTACCTCCCCCAATGGGCTACTATGCGTTTGGTTGACCTGTATGATTTCTGAACCACCCAATTTTTTTACATGTGAAAAATAATTATTTTACTTTAATAAAACGTCTTAATCTTATAATAATAAACCATGATTATATGCAGCTCTCTCATGGTAAACAAATTATCCGGCCCATTTCCAAGAGTTCTCAGCAGAATAACTACCCTTGTAAATCTGTAGACAACATCACCCGTTCTTATTTTGTTACAATACAATAAATAGAAAGAAAAACATCACTTTGATTATTTCTTCAACATTTTTTAGGAGCATGGAAGGAAATTGCTTTTCAGGATCCATACCCCAAGAGATTGTCAACATGAAAAATGTGTAGAAACTGTAATAACTAATAACTTTTCTTTTCACCTTTTTACCCTTGTACACTTCTTCTTAAAACCCTAAGAAGGAAAAATAATAGATTGAAATTATAAACTTTGATCTATATTCATATAAAATTTTGTAATTCCATTTCCCAGCATTCTGGCTTCAAATGAATTATCTGGCCCACTGCCTGTTGGACTTGGAAAACTTACAAACTTGACTAATATGTGAGTATACATATACATAGTACATACATCTTGTAAACTTATCAGCTATGTTTTAAATATTATGTTTTCATCTCATATTATTTATGCATTATCAGGTTCCTTTAACTGCTGTTACATCAATCATCGATGGCTAAAAGAAGCTCTACATCCAAAAGCTGAAACCTTTAGAAGTCACATATTAGGGACCAGATTGTGACCCCCCGAATCCCATATTTTTGTACCCTATTATATCCCAGGTACAAATAGGTTAAACTCAGCTAGCTTGTGAAAGGTAGATACTGTTAAACATGAAGAGGGTCGATCAAATGGAGTGGAGTAGTAGCAACCCCATTCCCTTTATTCCTCGGAATGCACAAAGTCCCTTTTCCTTTTTGTATAACTATAACACTGTCGACCCCTATCTATACCCACCTGGTAATTCACATTCTTTGTTTTTCTTCATTTTGTGCCTTTCCTTTCAAGTTACTTATATATCAAATGTATGATGTTCAAAAAAGTATTCGAATGTATAATTATTTTCACAAGAGAAGAAATAATTGAATAGATTGTTAACTCTCAAAATGGTGAAACAATTTTTTTTTCTATTTAAATTTTGTTGGAATTATTATCAGGAAAGGTCAAATGGCTCAATGCCTTGTTGGTGCAGATCTACATGGGGCACTTATTCTAGGTTAAAACTCACTGCACCCTGTATCTATTTGTATATAATTTTCTTATATATTTCATCACTATAATTTTTTTGTGTTCAAATTTTTCACTTTTCGCAGTTGCACGATGCAAAATGGCTGGTTTAACTGGAGTGAGTGGGATCATGATCCGTGAAACTGCAGAGACAAGTATTGTTATGTTTATTTGTTTTCAGAGGTCAAGTATTGCTATCATCTCACATTTGAGTTTATAGGAATCAACAATCACTGTGAAACTTCTAGTGTTTAGATTTCTTACTGGTTGTGAACATTTGTTTCTTCCCTTTCTACCCTTCACTTACAGGTTGATGATTTGTCAAGAATGTTCAGACTATTTTCCAAAAATACCCCATGGATTGGATCCTGTCTCTAGTATGTTTAAATAGGTTTGTGATTTAGGAGTTGGATTTTTTTTTTAAAAGTAGAATGCAGTTATTTGTATTTGTTGTCATCTATTTTTATCTTTTTAATGCAATGCAGCATGTTGCTGTTGAAGGCACAACCTTGGTCAAACAAGCAGAAGATGCTGCAAGTAATAAGAAGGCAGAAAAGAGATTGCATGTTGATCTTGCTACATGGCCAATAATGATCTTTAGAGTCTGCTAGAAGGATTGGAGATTGCAGTTAAGCTTCTTTCTAAGACTTCACGCCAAGGACTTGATGAATTTAAGATATCATATTTTTGCATGGCTAGAAGCTTTGGAGGAAACGAGACTCAAGCAAAAGTAAACATACAGAGAGTTGTTGGCACATAGTAAGCTAGATAATGCAATTGTATATAAATGAGTTCATTTTTTTATAACTTTTACTCACTATGGGAATAATTATTTGTATTTGACATATTAGTGAAATGAATTATCTTTGTTATTTATGGTATTTTATTTTGTATTATGAGATTTTTAATGTATTATTTAATTTGAAAATTAGTAAATCTATAAATAATATTATTTTAAAACATTTAAAATTATGATACGCAAAAATGTGTGTCATCTTCATTTATGACATGGCCTTTCTTGATAGGGGCTTTCTTGATACGCATTGTGTGTCATTAACACGAGCGTCATAAGGTTACGACACGCGAATGTGTGTCGTCTTCCTTTATGACAAGGCCTTCCTTGATACGCATTGCGTGTCGTAAACGCGCGTCGTAAATGCACGTCGTCTCTCTTTATGACAGGGCCTTCCTTGACGCGCATTTACGCGTCGTCTGAGCCTTTTACGACGCGCAATGAGCGTCGTAAAAGGCTGTTTTTCTAGTAGTGATGCTAGTTTAGTGACCTCAATTAGCAAAAGAAAAACAATTTGTTGGCCTTAACAAAAAAATTGATACATAGTTGATGTGTATAAAGTATATCTATCAACTTTTAAATTTACAACCTAACAAAACCTAACTAATTATGCACTTATAGGCAGTGTACATAGTCAGATTACAGAATAGTAACTTGTAAGTAAATCAGTGTCGATCATAGAGAACGGTATTTAATTAATAAAATAACTACTAAAAGTTAAACTAAAAACAACAACTAGAAGTGATGGGTTTTATCTGATTTTACATGTTCAAATTAACTTAATTAAAATACTCAACTAATTATTGAAGTAACCAACTAGAAAGTCGATTTTAAATCAAGAATAAATTATACTTTCGTTTAGCTTCAAATCTCTCTTGTTTCCTATGGTTGATTTCAAGACAATGGACTAATCTTGTTAGTTAGCAAATAAAAGTTACTAGTCATCATGATCAAACTAACTAACATAAGTCAATTCAATAACTTTAACCCCGATGATCATGCAAGTTAAGGACACTAAATTGATTTTTAAGGAAATTTGGACTCTGAATGATAGATTCTATCGACTACTATTATTTGTTCAAGTCTAGTAATCAAGCAAATATTATGATCAAATATTGCTCTCTAACACAGTTAAGCAACTAACTTATAACATATACTAGGATATGACTAATTACTAGCTCTAACAACTTAATGATTATAAATAGTTTGGTAAATCAACTCCATGCAATTAACTGCAGTTTAACTAGACAATATTAAGACAAGGAAATAAAGATAGAAACTTTAACAAGCTAGGTTTAGATTTATCAAACAATATTTAAAGCTAAAACCAACTTTATCAATCCATCAAACAAGAAATGAACACATAGTAATTAAGAGTTCATCTAATCTAAATGAAAGCAATGGTTATTAGCCCATAATCATAGCTGAAAATCACATAAACAAAAGTAAAACTAAGCTAAACATGATTAAACTAAGAAAACCAAATGAATATGTGTAAATCTTTGCTCCAATCTCCTTATCCTTTGATCTCTAGTCGAATTCTGCCCTCCAAGGGTTTTTGGAAGGGTTTTTCTTCGTTAATTATCACATCCCCCAGGCCTCTCTCTTAGAAACGACCAAATGTCTGGAATATATATACTTGCCAAATTCTTGCCACTACGACATGGTGAATAGGCACTATGTCGTGGTCTTCATGGATATCCCGTATTCTTCAAGTCAGCTCAATGATCACGAAGTTTCCATTTACCATGTCGTGGGAGTTGGATTTCACAATTTGGCACAAACACGAAAATCATCTGAAATTTTATCTACTTTTTCAGATCTTTTTGAATCGTCTTAATCGGAATTACGAATCATGAGATATGGCGAAAATACTGATGGGGTGTCAAGTTGTCCAACAACTTCCTTTTTGTGTCTTTTTCAACTCCTCTTCCTCCAAATATCTAGCTTTTGTCGATATCGATCATTTTCTTCGAAAATATCCAATTTTGGCTGCAAAATACAATGTAAACATAATAAGTACCAAATATATTTACAATAAACAAAATTATAGTTTGCAAGGTATTAGAATAATGCATATAAATATGTATAAATATAACACTATCAGTAGTATACAACTGAATTAACCTTATGTTAAACAAAAAAATATTGAAATTTTATTACAACAAATGGATTATCAAAACGAATTAACCTTATGTTAAACAAAAAAATATTGAAATTTTATTACAACAAATGGATTATCAAAACAACGTTTAAAAGCTTGTGTAAGTTTATAATTATATAAATTCTTTGAAACATAAAGTTAATAAATAGGCCTTTACTCATTTATAAATTGATAATATCCTTTTATAATAATCAATCCTCGTTAGTCAATTTTATTGGCCAATGAGAAGATTTGGACAAACCATTCCTAACCTTCCATAAGTAAAACCCATGAAAATAAAACATGTAACTAATTCAACAAAAAGAATTTACATATTATTATTGGATAATAATTATTTACTAAAATGTATAAGTAAAATTAATATGCATTTTAAAACTTTATATTGATCTTAGATTGTTTTACCAATAAGAAAAAGGTTTGGGTTTATGTGGTGGAGTGGTTATCTATCGATTGACATCACTATTCACTATAATTCTTTAAGTTATCCATGTCTTTTTTTTATAAGAATTTAGAATTTAATATTACATGAAGTTTTTAATAATTTAATGTACAAATATAATATCATTTACTTTTTATCAAAGTTCTAAATAATATTACATGCGACTTTGGCAGTAATGTCAAACCTCGAATTTTTACGAGTCGTGGCAAGTCACTTCGACAATTTTATATATAATTAATATTTTTATATGTAATTTCTACTATTATTCATTTTAATATACATATATGAATTAAAAAAAACGTTTTGTTAAAGTTTGGTGTCAAGTACAAGCATTAAAGTCATATCAAAACTATGACGAACTTTTTAAAACCTTGATTTTTAGTTGTGTAATTGAACTTGTAAAATCATATGTTATATGTTTATAATTATATACGAGACACGATGTTTAAATGTCCCTTGTTTCGTAATAAACTTATAACATACATTTTCATAATTAACTTTCAAACATTATGTTTTTCTATATCAATTAATAAATAAATGTATGATTTTTTTTTACTCTTTAACCTAAGAGTAAGAAGTGTCTCTCTCGAATGAGAGACAGTAAGTTTGTAACAACCTAATTTTCAAAATCAAAAATTTTGTTTTTAATTAAGTAACTTATAAAATAGTTCACTGAAAAGCATCATCGATTCATATCATTTCATAAAACCATAGTCACGTGTCTCAAAATCGTGTCATAAAATAATAATGTCATAGTACAATCCAAGAATCTCAATAAGCGGAAATCCTATGTGTGTGATACGTTGCTACCATGTCGGCTCCTTCCCCTTCGAAGAAGAGGTACCTGAAAACAAAACGGAAAACTATAAGCACAAAGTTTAGTGAGTTCCCGGTCATACCACATCCCATATAACAAACATATTGTCGGGCAATTCTGGGGTGCCCGACCTACCCTATCCGATAATTCTGGGGTGCCGACCTACCTTGTTTGGTAATTTTGGGGTGCTGACCTACCATGTCTAGCAGTT